AAATAACTCCTGGAAGTACAGGATGCATAATAGTCAAACAATTATATTGTATTACTGGCTATGTGACTAAACCGAAGAGTATAAACTTAATTTATACAGTGTGAGATAGCAAAAAACATCCAATTTTTATAACTTTATAACAAATAATTATTTTAAAAATCTCTCTTACAAATTTATTATTTATAAACTAAACTACAAATCTGTAAGACAGATTTTTAATATCTTACTTTTTACAAAAGTTATAAGGGATCAAAGTTTGGTAATTTTATTAGTAAAGCAGAAATTTGGCGCAAAGAAATTAACCAATTATATTTAGTACAAGTTATGTACTAGCAATTTTATTGGTTAATGCTTATTATTAAAAATTAAAAATTTGGCATTTACTATATAAAAAATAGTTTATATATTTTTTTAACTAATTAAAATTTCTTATATAAAATTAGCCAATTAAAATGATTAAATAATTGTAAATTTGGCACTTTGTATAAAAAAAATTGGATGTTTTTTGCTGTCTCACACTGTATTAAATATCTTTAACTTCAGTTGTAAAGCATTTTATTAGTCTAAATTTAGAAATTGTTGTTTTTAAATAGTATATACCAATACAAAACAAAATTACAATACAATATGGATACTTATCTATAATAAAATTTTATGTAATTTAAATAATTAAATCTGCCAAATTGACAATCATTTTTAAAAATATAGATTACACTTCAATAAATTAATGATACATTATGTTAGTATTATGAAAGTATGCTTTATTAAACATTATGCATATGACTATGTTTGTCATTAGAATTTTTTAACTACTGTAATGGTGAAACTTTTTACGTGGAATGTTAGGGCAACTTTACTTGAGACATGGAAGACTTGGTGAGTATGTTTTTACTAAATTTTTTTATTTTTATTTTATTTTTTTTTGTTTGTGGAGTTTTATTTTTCTACTACTGCTACTAACTACAATATTTCAAATTATCAATCAACAACTTAGCAACCAACACCCAACAACTCAATTTACCAAAGAGATATTCGATCTTTCTTATACTATATTTTATTTATTTTTTATTTTTTTTTGGAGTGAAAGATAAGTTTTTTTTTTTTTCTCTGCTGCTTTTATACAAGATTTGTACTGCTTATTAACTTGTCTATTTTTAGATTTCTTCTAACACTTTCCCACAATTTTTTTTCATGCGATTGTGTTGGTGCCATTATTGAGTAAGTATCTTATTTTCCAGTTTGCAGTTTTCTTTTTTTGGTTCTATTATTAATATAATTTGGTTCGCTTTTTTTTTTTTTTTGTTTGTTTGTTTGTTTATCTATTTTTCTACCACCTTTTGTTACCTGATTGTTTTACTATGTTGCCATTCTGAAACCTTATTGTTATGCATTTGATTCATACCTGATTTGGTGCATATGCCTTGCCAATTACTTTCGATCGTAGGACAAATGCATGCATACATTCAAACTAGTTTTCGGAGTATAATTATCAATCAAGGCACCATCGATCATATTCATTTTAGCCATGTTTCATTTTTGCCAGTGATATTTTTCTGGCACTTATCATATGTGTACCATGCATATTAATTACTAGGCATTAATTTGATTGACTCCAGACACTTTAGGCTTCGAATAAAGAGTCATCAAGTGGCTTGAGATCGGGTAGATTCTTTCGGTTGCTTGCTTCTTTGGTTTGTTTAATAGGTAAGGTTACTTTTCTCTCTTTCTCTCTCTATTTTTTTTGTTTTTCTTGTATCATTATTTTTTGCCTTACTTTTACTAGATTGTGCTTATTTGGACAAAGTTCAGAAAGGGATACAAGAGCGACTTGTGCAATAGTTAAGTAAGAGTTTTTTTTTTTTTTTTTTTTTTAATTGTAATATTTTTTAATAATTTGGTATTAATTGGGGCTACTAATACTTTCCTATTTATGGTGCACAATTTTGTAAGCATTATTTGGGCCATGCCACTTTAGTATGAATTTGCCACTTTTAGACTGTTCCTTCATAGCCTTATACAATAGCACTTTTTCACCAATATCAAATCCAGAGGCCAATTTGTAGTAAGTATCATAATAGGCTTTCTGTCAGGCTTGGATTTGTTGTATATTCTGTATAGCCTTACCCCAAAGTGTAAGAGGTGGCGATCAATTTGTAGGTTCTTTGCAATATCATTCCTTTCAAAAGTGAGTTAGTTCTGTATAGGTGTATCGGTTGGCAGGCTTCTCTTCTTTAAACCAAATATAAGAAGAAATTTTGATTGTAGAATTTTTGGAGGTTTGTTATGTGAACAGTATGGAGGGGATCAACAAATCTCAGTCAGGCATATTCACTATGAGTTTTGCAATTGCTTCATACAAAGTAAGGTTAAACTATTCAACCAACTTGTTGGTTTATGGGTGGTAGAATGTTGAGAGTTTGTAATTAATTTCAAAGTTTTTCATGAACTCCTTTATCATGGTATTATTAAAATAGATCCCACAGTCAACAATATTTGTTTGGGGCAGCCATGTCTACAGATGATCTCAGTATACAAAAAATTCGCAACATTCTTTGTATCAGCTCTCCTACAGCCAGAGCTGCAGACCACTTTGTCATATAGTCCACAGCGATAATAATGTAATATTTTTGTCTTGGGGTTTTTAGAAGGGGGTCAACAAAGTTGACACCAACTTGATGAAATGGCACAGTCACAGAGATGGGCATAAAGGTCCAGGTATTTTAATTTTTCCTCTTTGCTAACATTGTTCACATTTTTGAACATAGCTTCGTATATCAACATATATTTGGGGCCAAAAATATATATCCCTTAATTTGTTGAATTTAATATCCTTATTAAAGTGGCCTTCCATTGAGTGCTGGTGTGTCAAGAACAAAATCAGCTCAAGTTCATGTTTTTGGATCACATGCAACAGGCGACTTGACTTCCTTCTGTCTTCTTTGTAAAGTATCTCATCTTTATATTCATAGAATTCGCACTTTTTTGTAGTTTCTTCCTCTCATTGTGGCCAAGATTCGATGGTAGCTTCCGTGTTTATAAGTAAGTTTTCAGGTGGTTGTAATGCATAGAATCTATATTTATTTATGTATTATGAATATATATATATATTTTTTTATATTTTTTTATTTTTTTTATTTTTTTTTTATTTTTATTTATTATTATTTTTTTTTGTTATTATTGATTATTTATTATTTTTTTATTATTATTTTTTTTTTATTGAGGGGGCCAGGATACCGGAACCTGAGCTAGATTCTGTTTCTTGGGTTTAAGGCAAGCTTCTCTTTTCTCTTTCTTTTTTTTTTTTTTTGTTTATTTATTATTATTTTTTTTTTGTCAGAGGGTCAAATTCAGAATATTGCATCTGCGTTACTATATTTTTATTCACTATGATGGTGGATTATAAAATCATACAGTTGCAAGCAAATCTAAGTTTCGAGGTTTTCAGCCATTTCAAGGCAATATGGTCAGTAATGATGATGAACAGGTTCAAGCCATTGTAGTGGTGCTAATGTTCTACTATCTATAGAACAGCCAAACACTCTAACTTAGTTATAGCATAATTTTTCTTAGGAGGCATTAGTTCTTGACTGGTATATGAAATTATGAATTCTTTCTCATTATCATCTTTTTGTGCAAGCACTGCACCAAGTCCAGAACCAGAGGCATTGGTATGAATATAAAAGGTCTTTGAAAAGTCAGGATATTTAAGAATTGGAGCTGTGATCAGGTGATGTTTCAATGTCTCGAAAGCTTGATTTTAGTCTTTTCTCCATTTGTACTCAACATCATTTTTCAGTAAATAATGTAGGGGCTAGCAATCATGATAAAACTTTTAATAAATTGCTGGTAATATAACACAAACCCAGAAAACTATACAATTGTCGAAGGGTCTTTGAAATTAGAAAATTCTTCACTTTCTCGATTTTTGCTTCATCGGGCTTGATTTTATCACAACTAACAATGTGACCAAGGAAGTGGATATTTGGGCAGAAAAAGGTACACTTTTCATAGTTTAGTTTTATGTTAGCTTCCCTTAGCTTATTAAAGACTATACTAATATGGTTCAAAAGTTTATTAAAAGATTCAGAGTATATATTTATATTATCTAGATATACAACGATAAACTTGTCAATACAGTTAAACAGAATCTTGTTCATCAATTATTGAAAACTGGCAGAGACATTACACAGGCCAAATAGCATAATGTTAAACTTATACATCTCAAAAGAGGTAACGAACGCCATTTTTTCTTTATCCTTTTCAATGATAGACAATTGCCAGTAGCCACTTAACAAATCCAATATACTAAATCACCTTGCATTAGAAAACACTTCTAGAAGATCATTTATATGGGTAAAGGATATGCATCCTTTTTTGTCACCACATTCAACTTACAATAATTAATGTATAGCCTCAATTTTCTGCCTTTTTCAGACACAACCAGTGTTCGAAATTAGTGTTCTCAGAGTTCTCATAAGAACATAAATTTAAGTTTGTGAACAGTAATAATTTTTTACTATCACTATTAAAAATTTTTTGAGAACAGTAAAATAAAAATAATGTTCTTATAAGCAATAATAGATTATATAAGAAATAATATAGCTGTCCTCCCATAAAATTACATAGCTGGGTGCATAGTAAATTTTTTATATGATATGATTATATAGGAAGAGACTATATGAAGGTATAATTGTAGAAGTTATATTATTAAGTTGTCTTTTTTTTTTTTTTTTTTTTTTTTTTTTTAGCTAACATAAACTATAGTTTGAGAACACTTATAGCTATTTTTCTGTTCTCATGAGAACAGTTATCGAGTCTGAAATTTCGAACACTGGGCACAACTATGATTGGAGAGGACTAGGGGCTTTGGGACTTACATATCAACCCATGTTCCTTTAACTGAGTTATTTTATTCTTTATAAATTCTTGAACACCGGGGCAACTCTATATGCCTTTTGTTTAATAGAAGCAGCATCACCTGTATCAATCACATGGTCAGTTCAGTTAGTGTATCCAAGTTCTTCAACAGTTTGTGCAGAAATATCCTTTTCCTTCTTTAGCATTTTTTTAGCCTCTTTTTGTTGCTCGTCATTTAATTTTTTACTAATGTCCATCTTACTAATTTTCTCTTCCAAGTCATTCGTTTCAAGCTCAACAGAGGCTATGGCAATTCATCACATGTGACAAGTAAACTGCGGGGCTTTATATGATTTGCCAGGAATTAACAAAAAGTTTGGTGTCTTCATTACTCATTGCTTCTTCAGAAAAAAAACCTTCTGTTTTCTCTACTTCTTCTTCTTTATAGACCAATTAGTTAAACATATCATCCTCATCACTAATGGATCCTTCAAAATCGACTTTTTCCTCAGGTTGGTACAATTTTTTTGATTCTTGTTTGAAATTAGAACTTCAATGATTATTTCTAAATACCTCAAGATCATTTTTGTTTATTAAAATATATACAGGCCCGAGCCATTTCAAACCAATTATTACTCAACAAAAGGGTTTCATCAACTGATTCAATTACTTGAAGTGGACATGGGATGGCTACATCTTGAATTGCAATTTTGTTACTTTTAACTTTTCTTAATGTTCTTGTTTGAACATCTGTGGCAGTTACTATGACTTAGTAAACCTTTTTTCAATCTTCAAACCAAGTTTATCCATCATTTTCTTTGTAATGAAGCTGGCAGCAGCTCCAGAATCCAAAATTGCAACTACAGGATTATTTTCAATTCTCATGTGACACCTTGCTGTGGTAGTCTCTTTTTAACAGCATCGACATGTAGGTTTTTTCTGTCAATAGGGGCCTTTGAAGGGCTTTTGCCAAATTCATATATTGCTTGGAGTACTGTAATATTTGTCTAACTATAGCACTTGAAGATTTAGTCAAAATATCATTAGCAACATTGTACGGGGCCAACGAATCAATTACTGACAGTTCTCTTTTTCTTCTGGAGGCTCCAATGAGGGCAGCAGAATCATTATATTGCATTAAATTATCATCATTAATTAGTAGATAAGTTTTCTTAGTTTCTCTTGGTTGGATATTAACATTTTTTCTACTTCTTAGTTGATCTTCCCATTGTTGTTTAGAGTTTGGTGAGTGGTTATTGTTCTGACATTGGTAGGGTTGGTACCTTTCTTCTGTAAAGACTTCTCTTTCAAGATCATAGTCATCATCAATAGCACCATAGTTGGCTTCAACCTCACGTGACCTGATTGGGCTAGTCTTCTTTCAGGGTGAACTGAAGCTTCTCTTTCAGTCAAACATTCTTTTGCATAGTTGCCTTTTTCACCACACTTGTAATATGTAACTGTTATAGTTGCTCTGGCTGGGGTCTCGTCCTTAAATTATTGGTTTTGACTTTGGTTAACAACAGGGCAGCAAGTTTATAGTAACTAACTTTCATTTCTTAGATTTGTTGTGCCAACTCATTCATATTACCCTTCCAATTATTATTGCTTTTCACTTTTTTCTTACAGCAATATTTCTATAATAACTTCCAGCTTTGATCTTTTTAGTGACAGAAATAGTTTTATCCAAGGTTTCAGAGTTTTTTATCAACACCAATAAAGCTACATTCTCTTGTAGACCTCTAATAAATATTCATATAATGTATTCTTTGAGCAGAGCTTTTCCAGGGGCAACCCTTTTCAGCAATTTCTTGAATTTGTAGACATATATTCCCACATATTCACCTTCCTTTTGGACCAAAGAGTTCAATTCAACTTGCTATTGATACTTCCTTTTAGGGTTGCAAAGTGTTTTAAAAATATCAGTACAAAACTTTCATTTTGTACATACTTCTCATCCTAATACAGAATCTTTTCCTTATTATTATAGAACCAATCTGCAGCAATTCCAGCAAGGTAACCAGAGGCAATCCTGATTTTGCTTCTTGCAATCCAATTATTCATATCAGCAGCTCATTCAAAACTTCTATCTATTCATAAAGGTCTTTATTATTGTTTCCATAGAATGTTCTAACTCTAACCCAATTATTTTTATAAGTTCCAGATCATATATCGTTAACAACACCTAGGCTCGCATCTCAGAAAACACATGCTATTTTCCTTAAAATGATATTAACTTAGTCTTGATCTACTTGCAGGTTACTTTTCTGGTTTAGTAGTTTAATTACTTTTGTTGTTTGGTATGTTAAGTAAGTTATCCATCTTTTCTTTGTTTGATTTTTTCTTTTCTTTTTTTTTTTTTTTATTTATTTCTGTTTGGTTTGTTGTTTCTTTCTTTTTTTTTTCTCTTTTTTTTTTTTTGTTCATTATTTATTATTATTTGCGCACAGGTTATAAGGCTATTGTCATAATCTTGAAACTTGGAAGGAAAAGGTGAAATTTGTATTGTTAGGTGAGCCTATTTTTATATGGCCTGATTTGATTAATAATCTTGAAGTTTATTTGTTGATCTTTCATCACTTATACTTTGATGTTAGTGAAGTTTGGTCAATTTTAATTTATACTTTGTAATAAAATATTTAGTAATAGTGATGTAATTAATTGCGCAAGTCACAAATTTAACACAAAAAAAAAATTATATTTTTATTTTTTATTTTATTTTATTTTTTTTTTGTTTTATGCGTTAGTAAGATTCTCAGAAAAGTTATACTGGGGCCTATTTGCTGGGGTCTTGAGACTTCTACACTTTTTTTGCAAGCAAGTATTTTTTATTTTTTTATTATTTTTTTTCTTTTTTTTTCGATGTTCTTCTTAATCAGTCTTTTCTTCTTTCAACACCTTCGTATGTCTTTAATGTTGAAGTAAATATTGTTTCTGACTCTCCTTCCCTTTTGTCACTGGATATACATTCAATCTCACAGTCACCACCAAAAATGTAATAACAAAACTTTTTACATAGTACGTCAAGGCAACTCTACTTGAAGCATGGAAGACTTGGTAGTATGTTTTTACTGGATTTTTTTATTTTTATTTATTTTTTTTGTTTGTAGAGTTTTTATTTTTCTACTATTGCTACTAACTACAATACTTTAAATTATCAATTAACAACTTAGCAACCAACATCCAACAACTTAATTTACTAAAGGGTGTTCGATCTTTTTTATACTATATATATATTTTTTTTTTTGGAGGAGCGAAAGTTAGTTTTTTTTTTTTTCTCTGCTGCTTTTATACAAGATTCGTACTGCTTACTAACTTGTCTATTTTTATATTCCTTCTAACACTTTTTCCACTATTTTTCCTTTATGCAATTGTGTTGACGCCATTATTGGGTAAGTATCTTATCTTCCAGTTTGTACTTTTCTTTTGTTGGTTCTATTACTAACATAATTTGTTTCACTTTATCTTATTTTTTTATTTTTATTTTTTGTTTGTTTGTTTATTTATCCATTTTCCTACTGCTTTTTATCACCCGATTGTTTTATTATGTTACCATTCTAAAACCTTATTGTCATGTATTTGATTTATACCCAATTTGGTGCATATGCCTTGCCAATTACTTTCGATCATGGCAAATGCATACATATATTCAAACTGGTTTTTGGAGTACAATCATCAATTAGGGCACCATTGATCATGTTCATTTTAGTCATATCTTATTTTTGCTCATGACACTACATGAAAATAATCACTTAGATTATTTTAATTGCATTTTGATAACAAGAACCAACTTGAGACATTACACTAACATCTCCTATTTATCAGATTTTGGCAATAAACAAATGCTTTACATTTATTCTTCTTAGCTCTAATTTCATTTCAATAAAATTATAGATTGCAGTAGCATTTCCTATTTTAGCAATTGTTTTTTTTCTTAATGTTTTATACTTTTGACATAATACTTAAAAAACAATTTTGAGACTTATTACAACAAAGAGGTACATCACACATGACAAACCAGAGCTAACTTTAGATTGGAGTTTTGTGTTCCAAATTTAAATTTTTTTGCTAGCCCACTAGGCACACCATTGGCATAACTCTTATTTCTTTTTCTATTCAAGAAAATAGTCACCAGATACAAACTAACAGTTTGAAAGCTTGAAATGTTTTGTTATCTTTGGCTGTTTAGTTTCTTCTTTTTTTTCTTAGTTTATTTCTTTTTTATTCTTTTTTTGTACTATTCCTTAGCTGAATTATTTGCAATATTTATGAAATTCCAGACAAGTTCAAGCTAAAATTTTTTTTGCTCTTGTTTTGAATCTAGAGTCCTGACGATCTGATATAAATTAATGATAGAGATGTCAAGCAACCAGAAAAAAAGAGGCATCTAATTTCTTTGTACTATTTGTTGTATATTGTAATACAATTGTAGTTAGTCTTCAATATCTACACTGTTTATATCAGGGATGGTAAATGACCTGAAATGACTTCATGACTCAAGTGAATAATGACCAGTCATTGGTCATTTAAAAATATGAAATGACTTGTAGAGTCATTTAAAAATATATACTA